CCTGGAGATCCTGCATACGGGAGGCGAGAAGAAGCGCGACCCCCTGGACCTCCTGGGCCCCCTGGCCCGGCGGAGTACAACCCGGAGCGACAACCTCGGGCTGGACCCTACGAAGACCAGCGTCGCTTCGTTTCAGACCGAGAGCTTAGAGATCGAGAGCTTCGAGAGCAGATGAATAGAGAAGCCGAGTTCCGGGAAAGGGAACGGAGGGAAAGGATGCACTACGAAGAACAACTGCCCTTTATGGCTGAGAGAGAACGTCTCGAACGGCAGAGGGAGAGGGGCCGTGAAATGGAAAGAGAAATGGAAATGGAGAGGGAAAGAGAGAGACAGAGAGAAAGGGAGAGGGATAGAGAGATGGAAATGCGCGAGAGAGCTAGAAGAGAGAGGACTACATCTGACCCGAGTCGCCCACACGGTCAGAACCCGGCAGAACTTGGTCCCCAGGTCATTTCCCGACAACCGCCATACGGGAGACCTGACCCTCGCGATCCAGCAGCCTGGCAGCGACCTGGTTATGATCAACCACCGCCGAGAGATGCGTATGGCCAACCCTACCCCGGCCCGCGGCCAGGCGAGTTTCCGACGACGACGGCAGCGCCGTACGGGACGCATCCCGCCTATGCACAGCCTCCCCCCCACGAGCGCTTTCCCCATCCCGGACCACCTCCTCACGGGATACCTGTAAGCCAACCAGGCCCGCAGCCTACGCACCCCTTTGAGTCCCCTGACAGGCATCGGTTTGTTCAGGCACATCCCCAACAACTACCGCCGGCGGCGGCTCATCGAGGCCGACCTGCCGAGGAGGGCCCACCTCCCCCTTCAGTTGCGTATAATGGTGGACCCGGTGCCCCTGCTTTCGAGGCAGGCAGGCCGCCTGCTGTGGATGATGGCCCGGCTCCCCCTGGACATCAGAGAAATTTCCTTGGCGTTCAAGAGATCAACCGTACTAAGGGACGGGTGTCTCCGCTACCGCAGGCTGTTCAGGGCGCGCAGCCACAGCTGCAAGGCCCGGCCGGTGAGCCTGGGATCAAGAGTGAATTCGGCCGCATGTTCTCCGGCATAGGAAGTGGTGTACGCGGTATCGGTGTCTCTAGCCCCGTGCCGCCTCCAGTCGCTCCCGGCATGCAACCCCAGTTCTCTAATGCAGGTCCTGCGCGGCGTGATGATGAGCATCCTGGTCATGAGCTCCTTGCGGACGCCCCCGTGAAGACGGTTGCGAGAGGCAAACGAAGGAAAGCCAAGGACGAAGACGTCAAGGGCGATGAGGATAGCACCGGTAGGATCACGCCTGTCGGGCGGGCCAAGCGTCCCAAGACTAATGCTCATCACCACCACCATCAGTAAGTAACGATTCTTATCTTTCGTGCGCCTCAGCCGGTATTCATTGTAATATCTTCTAGTCATCATCATCACCACCACCATGGCGTAGATGGCGCCACTTCACCCCTCCAAGCTGCCAATGGACAACTTAAAGGCCTTAAAACAAGCACACCGATGCCGTCCCCGACGCGCAAAGACTTTGCCGCTTTCACTCATCATCACCAAGCTCCTAGGTCAGCCGCGACTTCGTCCTCGAAGCCGGCGCCCGGCTCGACCATGATCCCGAAGCCGAAACAGAAGATCTCGTCGCAGGCGGTCCTCGATAGCGTCGCGGATCGACCGCGGAAACACTTGGGTGATGTCGTGTACCAAGTGGTTCTAAAGCCTTCAAAATTAGACTCGTCTCATTCCAAATTCGGGTACTCGTCTAACCCGCGCCCGCTCCCTATAGAGGTGATCAAGGGTAACGAGAACTCGACCCTGACGGTTAAGATACCGCGCGTGCACCTCAGCCCGTCGTCGCGCGAGGAGATCACGTCTCGTCGCGCCGTCTGGGGTACGGATGTCTACACAGATGATTCAGATATCGTAGCTGCATGTATCCATGCGGGCTGGATTCGAGGCGAATGGGGTGGAGACGTGGATGTCGATTTGCTAGAACTGTACAAGCCTTCATCGTTAAAGAAACAGCGCGCGGCACCCGCCGAGCAACACCTCGAAGTATTGACTTCGCCACCGGCTTCTGGTCCCGTTCACGTACCCGCGGATCGTGATTTGCACGTGACGCTTCTGGTTCTCCCGGCGCTCGAGAAGTACAGCAGTTCAACGCGCTTCGGTATCCAGAGCCGCGAATTTGGCGGCACTTACAACGGACGCAAGTCGATCCACGATGGGATTAGTTTCATGATCACGAGCGTGCGCTGGGTGGACGGGGCGGCACTGCAGAGCAGGCTCCGGGGTAAGGCGCGTCGAGAGCGGATCCGGAAGGCTATGGGCGAAGTCAACCGAAGTCAGGTAGTGGACATCGGGGAAAAGGAGATTATGAGCAAGATAGTGGCAGCGAAAGAGACGAGTGTCGGGAAAGAGAAGAGCAGCGGAAAGCGGAGCGACGGCAGCAATGGGGATGGTAACAAGGAGAATCGCCCCGCTGGCGCTTCCAACACTGCTACTCCCTTGTTAGACCAAGAAAAGCCCAGTATAGATACGAACGCAGACTTGGACGACAAGGCTAGAGAGGAGAGCAGCTCGGCAGAGGATTGGAGCGCAATGACGGTAGACGCTGACGAGGTCGGTCTCGGAGCACACCCGGAGAGGTATGGAACGATCGAAGCTCCGAATACCAATAGGCCAGGATAGGTCCTGGTCTATCGACGTCGAAGAGACGGCGGAGCGTGCTATTGTTATATGGGAATAGTGGAAGCTGGCGCTGAAAACCATGTATAGTAGAGGGCGTGGCATGTCACGGCGTTGCTTTCTACGATCTTATACTGTCGAGTTGTCGCATCTTCTAAGATACCTTATCTGGCCTGCGTTGCTCCTCTACTTGCCTATTTATTTACATAGCATAGCGCGGAGTTCTGAGCAAACAATACGTGATGATAGATTCATATGGTTCACTTTTTGAGTGATGACTGCGCAATTATCGAACAAACGTTCATAGATACTAACGGGGAAGACATGCCTTGGTCCGGCGTATATACGACACATCTTCCTAATACTCCGTCCACGTAGTATTCACTAGTGGGCTGGCACAGAGCAGTAGCACAACAAATTGGTTGTGCGCTCATATTCCTAGATACATTGCTGGATGAAGCTAGAAATTGTTGTAAGCAATGAATGTCATAGCTGTACGATCCCTGTATCGCCATCGACTCATTCTTGTCTTTCTCGATAGGGCCATGTGCTGGAAATGTGGTACAAGGTATTTACAGTACCTAGGTATGTATATACCCACATATGCCTAAAGTCCACCAGTTCGGCTGGAATATCAGCAATTCCCGAAAATCACCATTCTTCGGTGTTGATCTAGGATGCAAGGTACTGATATCTCCGTAAAACACTATTATAGTGAGTCCTTTGCAAACACATGGGACAATCGGGGTGTCTGTCATGATCCCTTGTTCCTCGTTGAGAATCAAGGCGGAATCCTTCAAGCATAACTTTCTGCTTAAGTCTGAGAACACGCGCTGATATGTTTCTAGACCCCCCGTAGTCTGCATACAGGTATGTAGGTTGGAACGCTTTGAAGTGACCTACAACAACTTGCTAGAATGCGGCTGTAGACCTAAGCTGTCGGTCTCAGAGCCGGAATCGAGACTAAGTCGGATAGGATGATCCGATAGTGTAGATGCAAGGCGATGTTGGTGGATAGTGAACAGACAAGGAGAGCGTCGTTCTTCGTTTGTGATGGAATGTAGCTCGGATCCCTCTTCCCCCCCTGCCTTTCTTTATCGCAACGTGAACATTCCCTATGGCTTGGAAGGCGTACGTGCGCTCTGCTAGAGCGAATAGTTATATCCTTTTATGTATATATGTGGCCATTTATATGGAGTACCAGTAGAGACATGAGATAACCCTCTTATAAATCTTGACCAAGCGTCCCAAGTCTAAAAATCGGTGACTCGCCCGTTGAAGCTGTAATCGCCGGCAGCCCCCCAGCGCAGGGGTTCGTTCTTGGGCCCGCCGACCTCACCTGTCTTGGGGTTGACTTCGCCCTCGAACTCGGGCGGCGCACCCTTGCGCAGCGGCACCGACGCGAACTCGTCCTCGATGGCCGGCGTGCTATCTGTGGCGTTATTTACCTCTAGGCTACTGCTGAAGTCGGGGGTTGAGGTTGGGTTAAAACCTTCCTGGGTGTTGGCTGTGCGCTGTAGTCGCTCGAACTCGGCCTGTTGATCTTCAGGGAGACGCGGCGGCGAGGGCATCGATTGGAAGGGGTTGGGGGTATTGGAGGCGTGGCGGAGGGCGAGCGGAGTTGTTACCGGTGATGATGCTGGGAAGTGTTGCGACAGAGCGAATGGTCGCTGTCTCGCGAGACGGGTGAGTCGGGCGAGTCGGGTGAAGCGGGATGCCATTGTGATAGCTTCTATTACTTGTAGTGGCGTCTCTGATTGAGTCGTATATAAGACGATTGAAGGATTTAGTTGTTCGTATTTGGAGTGGATTAAATGTGTATTTCTTTCGAAGTGGCAATGGAAGGAAAATGTGAGATGAATTGGCTCAGAATTCCGACTTACAAAGCTTCGCAGTGAGAAAACGGGTTTACCTCGGTATCGAATACTTCCTTATTCTCTTGGGCGTGCGCTTCTGATTGGTTCAACGTCTTGCACTTTTGTTTCTTTTCCCCCCCCCCCCTCCTTTTCCTTTTCCAAGTCCCAGGGGATCTCGATTTATATCAAGAGTCTATATCAAAGGGCATAACCATAAAGGAAATGCTCATAGCTATTCTACATGTACTTGGACATGTCAGATGTCGTAAAAACAGCTTCATCTAATGATATTTAAATTTGTACCTAGCCTTAAAGAAAGGTAGTGATAATGATCTAATACTTGGAATTAGTCTAAGAGACTCAACGTCACCTTTTGCTACAGGTCTCGTAGGCAAAAAGAAACAAATATCGTAAGATGACACTAGAAACCTCAGAGAGTCTAGAGAATATTCGCAAAAAATAAAATGTCGAGCTCAGCAGGGATCGAACCTGCAATTTTCAGAGGACCGGTATTTCTTGGAGAGGAGGAACCGAAATCTGACGCCTTACCATTAGGCCATGAGCCCGTGGAAGTATTAAGTGTTGGGATTGTGTTTATCGCAAACATTATCCATGTAGCTGCAGTAAGTGGGCATGAGCTAGGCTGAGCCGGCGGACGGTTCGACTCGACTAAAGTGACTTACATACCATAATAGTTACTTTACCTATCACGTACGACCATAAAATCTGGAAAACTCGGGTTCCCGTCCGCTCCCCCATAGATAACCCAGATATTGCCAGATCAGTAGTTGGGTCGGTGACGACTAGCGAATCCCTGGTGTTGTACGTTTTATTTTTTCGTGATGATCTATGTAAGTTTATCCATGCGGGTTGTTTCGTACTCCCGGACACATTCGCGAATACAAAGAAATCATACCTAGCATTCGATGCTAGATACGTCACTTTTTATCACTTCGAGGCTCTTATGTAGCAATAGAGGAAGATATGTGTATGATCGAATTCTGCTAGCTGAGAGGTTTTATCGTAGTACATAGATCTTCGGCGGATGGATATGGTGGCCAAAGAAGATATAGAAGGTATCCATAATTAGACCCTAGAGAATCTGATTCGTCCCTTGCATCTTTTAACTTTGTTAGGTCCGCCCGCCCGTTCGGGAGACGTCGGTACGGGGATATGGGATGGTGGGGTTTTAGAATCCATGCTTAGAAGTTCAAAGTTGCCCCTTCCGCCTCCGGTTATCGCTTTGGGAAATATCGATAAGGCATAGGTATTTCGTACTTTTGACTCTTCAGAAAATAAATCCATCGTTGACTCAGACCTCGACTCCCAACTCCCCTATAAAGAGTCAACTCTGTTTCCTTGAACTCCCTCTGTTTCTCATCTCAATTAGGCCAATTGACCTAGACAAAACACTATGGAGGCTCTCAAACAGACGTTCAAGCGCTGCAAGGCAGAGAAACGGGTATGATTCGCCTTCTCATCCCATCCCATTTATCTCCTATATCTCGCCTATCTCATCTATATACTTGGTTATATATGGCCGTAGTTATACAGTTACACCTCCATATTAACGCATTTCCATGAACATATGACTGAAGCTCTTATAGGTTGCCTTGGTGACCTATGTCACTGCCGGTTATCCCAAATCAGAGGACACGCCCGGTGTCTTGTTAGGAATGCAGAAGGGAGGTGCTGGTACGTTGTGCCGTGGTCGTGTTGTGGCGGATAGACTTATATACAAAATAAGGAACTCTGGCGGCGACAGCAATGACTAACCAAGTACAGATGTCATTGAGCTCGGTGTACCCTTCACAGACCCCATCGCAGATGGCCCAACCATCCAGACCTCCAATACCGTTGCCCTCGCCAACGGTGTCACCATTAGGTCTACCTTAGAGATGGTTCGCGAAGCTCGGGCCAAGGGCCTGACTGCCCCGGTTCTGCTGATGGGTTACTATAATCCTCTGCTGAGCTATGGCGAGGACGATCTCCTCCGGGACTGCAAGGCTGCTGGCGTCAATGGTTTCATCGTCTGCGACTTGCCGCCCGAGGAGGCTGTCTCCTTCCGAAAATTATGCAGCAAGGGTCAATTATCCTACGTCCCTCTTATCGCGCCCGCCACTTCAGATACCCGCATGCGTATCCTGTGCGCCCTCGCTGACTCCTTCATCTATGTTGTCTCCCGCATGGGCGTCACTGGCGCTCTGGGCACCCTCAACGCCAACTTACCGAGCCTTCTCGAGCGAGTCAAGAAATACAGCGGTGACAAGCCAGCCGCTGTGGGATTCGGTGTGTCTACGCGCGAGCACTTCCAGTCGGTGGCTTCTATCGCCGACGGAGTCGTCATAGGCTCCCAGATCGTCACCACTCTCCAGAAGGCCGAACCCGGCAACGGTGCCAAGGCTGTCGAGGATTACTGTGCCTATGTCAGCGGAAGGGACTCGCAAGAGACGACGCGCGAAGTGGGCGTGATCGAGGCCATCAACGACGCCAAGGAGCCCAGCGGCGAGGATGTGACGGTCAACGGAGTGATTTCCGAGAGCGACGACGCCGCGTTAGTTGCTCAGCTAGCCGCGCTCCACGGCAAGATCCCCGAACGATTTGGCGAGTTTGGCGGCCAGTACGTACCTGAGTCTCTCATGGATTGCTTGTCCGAGTTGGAAGACGGTTTCAACGCCATCAAGGACGATTCCAAATTTTGGGAGGAGTACAGGTCCTACTACCCCTGGATGGGACGGCCGGGCCAGCTGCACCTAGCCGAACGCCTAACGGAGTATGCCGGCGGCGCTAACATTTGGTTGAAGAGAGAAGACCTAAACCATACCGGATCGCACAAGATCAACAACGCCCTAGGGCAGCTTCTGCTGGCGAGGCGGTTGGGTAAAAAGAAGATCATCGCCGAAACTGGCGCTGGTCAGCACGGTGTAGCGACGGCCACGGTCTGTGCCAAGTTTGGCATGGAATGCACGGTTTTTATGGGTGCTGTAAGTTCTAGGTTCTCGTAATTTCTACCACTCTGTATGAATGTATCAATAGCTTACAACATGTAGGAAGATGTACGCCGCCAGGCGCTCAACGTCTTCCGGATGCGGCTGCTCGGTGCCAAGGTCATTGCCGTGGAAGCCGGCAGCAGGACTCTGCGAGATGCCGTCAACGAAGCACTTCGCTACTGGGTGGTCCACCTCCACGACACGCACTACATCATCGGATCTGCCATCGGCCCCCATCCCTTCCCCACCATCGTCAGAACGTTCCAGTCGGTCATAGGTAATGAGACCAAGGCACAGATGCTGGAGAAGCGAGGCAAGCTACCCGACGCCGTTGTTGCTTGCGTCGGTGGAGGTAGCAATGCTGTCGGCATGTTCTACCCCTTTTCAAACGATCCCAGCGTCAAGTTGTTAGGCGTGGAAGCTGGCGGTGACGGGGTCAACACTACGCGGCACTCGGCTACGTTGACGGGAGGTAGCAAGGGTGTTCTACACGGCGTGAGGACGTACGTGCTGCAGAACGAGCACGGGCAGATCTCGGATACTCACTCGATTTCGGCCGGACTCGACTATCCCGGCGTCGGCCCCGAACTATCGTCCTGGAAGGACTCGGAGCGGGCCAAGTTCATTGCAGCCACTGACGCTGAAGCCTTCGTCGGGTTCAGACTTATGAGCCAGATGGAGGGCATCATCCCCGCGCTAGAGTCTGCCCACGGTATCTACGGGGCCATCGAGCTAGCCAAGACGATGAAGAAGGACGAGGACGTGGTCATCTGCCTCAGCGGTAGGGGAGATAAGGACGTGCAGAGCGTGGCAGACGAGTTGCCCAAGCTGGGGCCAGAGATCGGATGGGATTTGCGGTTTTGAGGACTGATTGTCTTCTGGAATTATTCTAGAACCAGACGAGGATACGCTCGTTCCAGAACCTTGGCTTCGGATTTGGCGTGAGGATTATAAAAAATAAAAAAAAGAAGTCGAAGTTGAAAATGCTCACACGGCATTAGGCAGCTAGATAGATGTATATCTCAATGCATTTTGTACAAAGTCTATGGTACAATGCCATATATTTCCCTCCGCGTTGCGACTTTCGGTTTGCTTCCTTCGTAAAGCCTCACATCCTCGTCGTCGCATCCTCTTTAGCCTTCCCTTCTTCCACCACGATGTACTCGCTATCCTTGGCAGCCTCCCTAGCTTCTTCGATAGCCGCGACGTCCCCCTTGATAATGCCCTCGCCTTCTTTTACTTCGCCTATGACGAACTCATCGCCACGCTCTAACATGCCGTCGATGTCGTCGAGTGCAGCGTCGGACGTGACGCCCTCAGCCGCCAGCTCGCTGGGAAGCGTCGCGCTCTCATCTTTAGGGGGCAAACCCAAGGCGGCGCGCTCCCTGGCAAAGCGTTCACGCACGGCGGGGGTCTGCATGATCTTCCAGCGCAGGGCCCAGCCGGCGGGTCCCAGGTCCTTGATGCGCTGGGCTTTGCTGCCGAGTAGGTACTCGTCGATACCGCCGAGGCGGTCGATGGTGTGAAGGACGCGGGCAGTCAGACGCGTGCGCACAAATGCGTTAAGGGAGGGCGACCACAAGCGCTTGACGTGGCGGTTGGGTAGCCACGTCGTGCGTGACTTGTTGCCGTATTCCTCGGCTACCGTGTTGCCGAAGCGGATCTTGGAGCCCCCGAATAGCCCCTGGTTCGCTTGCTTATATGTCCTGAAGCGGCCGTAGGGGTATTCGGGTACCTGGTCGGATGGCACGGTCAGGTAAGAGGGTTTCTGTCGGGAGAGAGGGGTGGTGGTGCTGAGGGCGCATCGTATTGTGGTTCGAGAGAGGGAAGAGGTCGTATTCGAGGATGTGAGGGAGATGAGCGAGGACGAGATGCAACACCTCGACGGTGTGGTTATGATTTGTATGGGCGGCATTTTGTAGCCAGCGCCAGCTCAGCTCCAGTTGAACGTTTTGATTTCGTTCCTCTGCTAGTTAGTTAGTTTATAACGGTAGCATGTATAAGTTGGATTGGTGAAGTTGAAGCTTCGCGGATGGAATTGAAGATTTGTTATCAGACAGTTATCAAGTCTCAACTCTTGCATAAATGGTATTGTTGAATATGCAACTAATCAGGTCCGGGTTAATTTAGTCATGTGACACCGCTCCGTGTTCGTGATTTCTTATCGCCGCATCGATCTGTCGCGGGGTTCACCTTATACCACTAACACTTACACTCACACTTACAACATTTACACACTCACTTACACGCCAGTTTATAAACCAACCTTTCAATATAAAATACGGAAGAATAAACAGATCATACAATGCTGCCGCCCATAGACGAAGCTGTCCTCAAGAATAATCCCGACTTCGGGCGCTTATATAAAACGGTCACTGGCTCGCTCCTCAACACCGACGGATCTACAAAGGGCAACGACTCAGCAGCCAAGAAGCGCGATGCTGTGCGCGATGTAAGTTTACATATTTATTATCCATCGATCCAGATATTGTAGAATGAGGCAATCGACTAATTCTCACGTCCAGGAACTCAGGGCATACCGCCTCAAGGCGACGAAGCAGCATCTCCTCCGTCGT